GAATTCANNCATAATTTCCTTGCCTAAATCCATGTATAAACTTGATATTTAACTCAAAGCTAGCATAAATTACTTACCTCATGATGAGTGACGAAAATGGCACCTCAAAGCTGTTCCCCATCGACTTCAATGGAAGAAAATGGGGTTGAAATGAACCCAACCCCGAATTTTAAAAGACCTCACTGCCTCAGCTGTTTCCGCTTCTGCGGTGCACTGACCGCTTCTGCGAAGACCGCTTCTGCGGAATTAGGATCGCTTCTGCGAACTTGGCCCAAAATGCCTGGACCGCTTCTGCGGTCTGGGTCCCGCTTCTGCAGAACCGCTTCAGCGAAAACTGGGCCGCTTCTGCGGTTTCCCTTGGACTGGCCCTTGGTCGCACCTGCGATGGACTGACCGCATCTGCGGTTCTAGAACCGCAGATGCGGTTATGACAGAAGCAGCATACCTTCAGCTATTCCTCAACTCCCAAATTCGATCCGTTAACCATCCGGAATCCACCCGAGGCCCCCCGGGACCCCAACCAAATATACCAACCAATCCTAAAACACATTACGGACTCGCTCGAGGCCTCAAATCACGTCAAACAACGCCAAAATCATGAATCAACCCCCAATCCAAGCTTTAAGAATTTTAGAACTTCCAACTTCAACTTTCGATGCTTAGACCTATCAAATCAAGTCCGATTGACCTCAAATTTTGCACACAAGTCATATTCGACATTACGGACCTACTGCAACTTTCGGAATCGGATTCCAACCCCGATATCAAAAAGTCAACCTCCGGTCAAACTTCTCAAAACCCTCAAATTTTCTATCTTTAGCCAAATGACTCCAAAATGACCTACGGACCTCCGAATTCACTTCCGATCGCGCTCCCAACTCCAAAATCACCATACGGGGCTATTCACAGACTCGGTCCCAAACGGACATCGATAACACTGAAATGCACTTCAAGCCAAACTTATGAAATTTCTTCTAAAATACTAACTTCCACAATAGCCGCCAAAACATTCCCGGGTTATCCAAAACCCGAACCGGGCATACGCCCAAGTCCAAAATTATCCTACAAACCTGCTGGAACCTTCAGATCCTGATTCCGAGGTCGTTTACTCAAAATTCCAATCCTAGTTCATTCTTTCACTTTAAGCTTCTGAAATAAGAATTCTCTTTCCAAATCGACTCTGAACTTTCCGGAACTTAATTTCGACCATGCGTACAAGCTGTAATACCTAAAATGAAGCTGTTCATGGCCTCCGACCGCTGAACGGAGCGCTAGGACTCAAAACGAACGGTCGGGTCGTTACATTCCTTTCCATTTTTCATATGGAATGGATTGTGTTTTGCTATGGGGTACTCGATTTAGTATTCTGCTAGCCGTAAGAACGGCTTCCCCCCACAAGTTATGTGACAAACCAGAACTTATCAATAATGAATTCATCATCTCCTTTAATGAACGATTCTTTCTTTCTGCAATCACATTGGATTGGGGCGTGTAAGGGGTCGTTGTTTGATGAATAATTCCATATTCTAAACATATTTGTTCAAAAGGAGATTCATATTCACCACCCCTATCACTTCTTATCATTTTGATTTTCTTATTAAGTTGCGTTTCAACTTCTTTTTTGTATTGCTTGAATGCGTCTATTGCTTCATCTTTACTATTAAGTAAGCAAACATAGCAATATCGAGTACTATCGTCAATAAAAGTTATGAAATACTTTTTTCCACCGCGAGATGGTATTGACTTCATGTCACAAATATCTGTGTGAATTAAGTCTAAAGGATTTGAATTCCTTTCAACTGACTTATAAGGATGTTTAACATACTTAGATTCCACACATACTTGACATTTTGATTTGTCACATTCAAACTTGGAAAATACTTCCAAATTAATCATTTTCCGTAAGGTTTTATAATTGACATGACCCAAACGTATATGCCATAATTCATTTGACTCAAGTAAGTAAGACGAAGCTGAAACTTTATTATTATTTTCAACAACCATTACATTCAGCTTGAAAAGGCCCTCAGTGAGGTAACCTTTTCCTACAAACATTTCATTCTTACTTATTACAACCTTATCGGAAACAAAAACACATTTAAAATCATTCTTAACAAGAAGTCCAATAGAGACTAAATTCTTCCTAATCTCGGGAACATGAAGGACGTTGTTCAAAGTCACCACTTTGCCGGAAGTCATTTTGAGAAATATTTTCCCACATCCTTCAATCTTCGCCTTTGAAGCATTTCCCATAGAAATCGTCTCATCGGGTCCAACAGGAGCATAAGAAGCAAAAACTTCTCTAACAGCACAAACATGGCGAGTGGCTCCAGAATCAATCCACCACTCTTTAGGATTGCCCACCAAGTTGCATTCGGAAAGCATGGCACATAAATCATCAACATCATCATGCTTTTCGACCATGTTTGCTTGACCCTTCTTCTTGTCTTTCTTCGGAGCACGACACTCCGTAGATTTGTGTCCGGTTTTTCCACAGTTGTAGCAGTTTCCACTGAACAGCTTCTTGCTTGGGTTGTATTTTGGTCCAGAAGCCTTTTTTCTCTTTTTGTTCTCTTCAACAATATTTGCTCCCATTATTGTTGAGTTTCAACGGCCTCTCTTTTCAGCAATTTTGTTGTCCTCTTCGATTCTCAACCGAACAATGAGATCTTCAAGGGACATCTCCTTGCGTTTGTGTTTCAAGTAGTTTTTGAAGTCTTTCTACAAAGGAGGCAACTTCTCAATCATTGCTGCTACTTGAAATGCTTCATTGATGACAAGACCTTCAGTAAGGAGATCGTGAATAATCACTTGCAATTCCTGGACTTGGGTAATAACAGACTTGCTATCTACCATTTGTAGTCCAAAAACTTTGCAGCAACAAACTTTTTCAACCCGGCATCTTCGGTTTTGTATTTCTTTTCAAGCGTTGTCCACAGTTCCTTTGACGTTTCCATGCCACTGTAGACGTTATACAAAGCATCCTCCAGCCCGCTTAGAATATAATTCTTGCACAAAAAATCTGAATGCTTCCACGCCTCAATCACGAGAAAGCGCTCAGTTTCTGGAGTTTCATCGGACAGCACAGGAACATCTTCCTTGATGAACTTCTAGAGACTTAGAGTAGTCAAATAGAAGAACATCGTTTGCTACCAGCGCTTGAAATCAATCCCGGAAAATTTTCCGGGTTTTTCCGCCGGTGCCAATGCTGCCGGTGTCGTTCGGCTTGTTGAGGCATTGGCATTCACCATTGGAACAGCTTGGTTCTCATTCTCATTAGTCATTTCTGTAAAAGAATGACACAAACGTTAAAATCACGTAGATTTTAATAGAGTACAAAACCACAAATGTTTTACTCTTCCAGAAACAGTAAGTACAAATACAGAAAATATATTAAATTCCTTAAGCTTGTTAATCAACTGTATTTGTAAAATAATTCTGGAAATATAAATGAATATAAACAGAAATGAACATAAACAGAAATGAACAACGAAATAATAGAAAACCAATTCGAGCCCACTGAATTCACAGTGTTTCCTTAAGGAATTTAATCCCCTCCTAGTACCCAAGGTTATGGATTATTTCCTCCCAGGATAGAACGAATTACACACTGGTGTAATGGTACTTCAAACCCAGTGTTTCAGCGAACACAAAGTTCGGTAGCAAATCACACTTACTTTTGCTTTGTTTGATGCTAAAAGTATGCAGAAGAAGGAGAGAAAACTCAGAAAATCGTAGTGAAATTCTTAGCAGAATAGTGTTGTATTTATAGCCAAAGTTGGGCTGAAATCTGAAGAGGTGCAACTCTTCAGAATGGCTGTTTATGCAAAATGCCCACAGCATAAATGCCATTACATAAATGGCCATTTACTCAACAATAAATAGGGAAAATTGAAGAGGGTAATTACTTTTCTGTTATCAAAACAGAAAAATGGATTGGATTTAATATTAATATTCTGTTATTAAAACAAATATTTAATAATATTTCTGTTAATATTTTACTATTAACAAATAAATTTGGTCCAAACCGAAGCCGAAGCCGAAGCCGAAGCCGAAGCCGAAGCCGAGCCGAGCGACGACGACGACGGCGCGAGGCTTGCCTTCTTCTCAACTATTTAAGAGCTAGAAGAAGAGCAATTGCTTATATACCCATAAAAAACCTCTTCCTCTTCCAATATGGGACAATGCCCATTTGCCAAGGGCGGGACTTAAAATTTCACTCAAAAATTTTATTTCCCTCCATTTCCCATTCACCCTCTTTTAAGTATTTAATATATTAATTAAATACATCCAAAACCCAACAATGGGTGAGGTCAACATAGTGAAGTGCTCGATTCTTGTTTTGCTAAGTTGTAACCAAATTGCTCCCATTCCCGTATATTCCCTTTAAATTGTAATTGGCAGTATATGTTGAGTGAAAAATCTACAATTTAGCTTATACTACATCATTGTGAAAAGAATTTTTATATTATATATCATATCATATTTAGCTATTGTAACAAAATAATGTATCTTATTTTCAATATTACGCTAGGTTATGACCAACATATCAAGAGCACAAAATTTGTATATGAGATTACGATTTCGATTTCTGATGGAAGTAGCTCTCACCAAATTCAAATCATGACGGAGATCGCTAAAAACTATAGGTAAATTAACAAAGTTTATTGCGCAAAATGAAATCTGAGAGCATCTTGGTCCAACTAGTTACCAACCAGAAAAAAAAAAAAAGTCAAACTATTTTTCTTTTATTTTACATGAGTTACAATAAATATGAGTACGTACATAACCAATAATGGATTTAACTTTTAGACACTGATAGTGTGACATAATTTTTACACCATCAACTATAGATACCTGAAAAATCAGGCAGACGAGCTGCGACAACAGGTTAAAATACAGTAATATAATAAAAATTATATACACCAACTGTGTATATAAGTTAAACCCATAAAAAATAAGAAAAGACGACAAATTCAAATACCATATGACACTAATAATTAGGGTTTGTTACTGTCATAGCTAGCATGATGAGAGGTCTTATACTTAGCAGCAAATCCATTAAACAAAGCTAGAGCATTGCTAGTGACTTGTGCAACGTTAAGAACCTTAGCTTTAATGGTAGCCTGCACTTTTCCACCCTTGGAATAACCAGAAAGTCCATCCATGCAAGTGTAAACATCAGTTAATACTGTACTAAGCCAAGTTTGAACATTATTTTGATGCCATAAAAACTCTTCTAATTGCCCATCTAACTTCAAATTGTGAAGCTCTTTGACAGCATTTGTGAGTTGGGAAACACCATGAGAGATATGAACAAGACATTCTTTTATTGCTTGATAATCCTTTGCCTTCATTTGCTTAGGTTCCTTACATACCTTTGCTATGTAAGCTTTTGTATGTAGAGCCCTAACTAGGCTCACTTTCAAGGCAACTTGAGCTATTTCTTGAGGATCTTGTGATGTTGGATTTACATATTTGGATAGAAATGTCACACATGGTTCTGGATAACGCGTTCGCCTGCATTGTGTCTCTATAAAGGTCGAGTGAGGACGCAATCGACTAGTGTTGCTCTCGACTACAGCCACAACAGAGAGGACGAGAAGCAAAAGAGGAATATTAATTTTTCCCATTGGTAAGAGGGATTGTTTCACGGGAGGTGAAAGACTGGGTGGATGGTATTATAATTAATTAAAAGAAAAGAGGGATTCTTAACCTTTGGAAATGCAAGGAAGAAATTAAAGAGCTAAATTGATGAAGAGAGATTGAGATGATAGAAAGGGTTTGTGATGGGAAAATATGAAGAATATGCATGGTCTTATATAGAAAGGTTTGTCACATGCATGGAGAATTTGACTTCTTTCATTTAACGAATGCATGTGAAGACTTCCATAAGAGGATTAATGAATACTGTGTTTAATGATAACTTAATTGGTTTTAGTGGTTGCTAAGCTAGACGTGCTAAGTTGCTTGAAACAAGCAGCTGTCAGATTTTGGGTCTCGTGAACACATGCCTTAATTCTTGTTACAACAATATATTGGAGAAGTAGTTTGATACTGCCTTCAGAGTAAAATTAAAAAATTTACAAAATTAAATTATTTATCCATATAAAAATGTATTATTTTTCTGAACAAAATAAAAAGAAAAATATGTCACATGATTAGATGGGACGGAGGGAGTTCAAATTGTTGGAACTTGGACTTACGTTAATTGGTTATAGCCTGAAAGGATAGTGACGTGACCCAAGTGGTGAATAAACAAAGGGGCTAATATTAAATATTGTGTGTGTGGATAAGTGAGGCCCAATAACTATTGACCTGTGATGGGTAGACACTTTCTATAAATAGAGGTCAGCCCCCCTTTCCCTAGCTATTAGAAAACTCTAGCATATTGTGCCTCTTGAATGCGTTGTAACAGTAGGCGTCCCAGCCATCTAGTGGATTGTGGAAGTTGGTCTTAGGCTTAATCACCATTTATTGTCGCTGCTGAATTTTAACGGTAAGCTTCTTGAACCTATTTCAAGATTATGTTTATGTTTTTGTTTTAATCTCTGCTATGATTCATTATTAAATATCTTACACAAAGAACATTGGAAAAGAATGCAAGGGAAGTTATTCACCAATACAACCTTACGCATATGATTTTATTTTGTGGTCAACTAATGCTCAATTTGGCGTAGAATATCTATAATTCTGTTAAGTGCAGTATCTTTTGTTAGCGAAATTGATTATGAGACTTTCCACGTATTATTTGTACGTTCATTAGTAATTAAATTAAACTATGTTTATAAAAATTATGGGGTATGGTGTTTGGTTCGACGGAAGACACTTTTAATGAAATGTATTTTCCTGAAAAATGATTTCTATGAAAAAATATTTCCTAAAAAATATCTCCTGATGTTTAATTGAATTAAAAATATTTTTCAAAAAGATAAATTAAATATCAGTAATAAGACAATTACTAAAATGGGGTCTAGCACAGACATCAATTCTTGTTACAAGCATAAGTAACATTTTATCTAATGCTTGGCTTGACGGTTAAGAAATTTGGAAGAGGACGCAAGGCAAGTTATTATTTATTCATGCATGCTACCTTACGCATTAGATATTTTTCTTTTTTCTTTTTTGTGGTAAATTAATGTTTAATTTGAGTAGACCTGGTTTTCAAGGAGTCGAGTAATGTTTTATTAGCCAAATTATTCTGAAAACTTTGAACAATTATTTATGTGATCAATAATGATTAAATATTTAGTCATGAAACGATTACGACCTTCCCCAGGAAACAGCATTTTCCTCAAGAAATTATAAATAGATTGCTTAGATCAAATCTCCATCTGGTGAGTTATGCCAACTGTTCATAGAAGGCAGCTGCTTCCTCGTTGATGCTTACGGCAACTTGTCTCGGACAAAATGAATAAAGAAAACATATGGAAATAGCTTTCACGAACATTATGTTGGTGGACAGAAAATAAAAAGGTTCCAACTTTCCTAGTAATTACACACACAAATTAACAGTACTAAGTAGAGATGATAATACTAACAAAATAAATCTACTGAACCCTTATGATAATTTGAAGAGATCTTAGTTAATCGAAGTTTCTCTATTAACGGGTGGTTATATATTATATGTTACTTGAGAAAGACTGCATATTTAGGTTGTTGTTGATGGCATCACTCCTATGCATATGAGAGATTAATATTGTGGGTTTAAAAGTGACTTTAGAAATATATGAAGCTTTGACGGGGTCGTAGTAAATTGTGAGAAATTGCTAGCTAGAGTAGTTCAAGTGAATACGTCAATTACAATATCGTGACTGACCGAGAAATAATTACAGTAAATTTAAGTGCCCACGATCTATAAAGAACAAATTGGCAAAATTATAAATTACGTAATGAGAAGGAATCAGAAAATTGGGGAAGTCTTAACTTCAGGCTTCCTTTATCTTGAATTCAAACCATTCTCTAATTAGTGATAGTTTTACAGCATTGTCTTAGTTGCAATATGTTAGTTTCAACACTCAAAAATTACAGCTTGATAATACGTAAATTGGTTTACTAGATATCTTGGCAGTAGTTAAAGTTTTAGTGAATAGTTTGTTTCCTTGTGGGATTCGATTTCGGACTCTTGAACCGAATTGTATTTGTAACGATCACATAGTTGGTCTTGATCAATGTTCCTCCTACATATATTATCTTTTGCTACTCCCTCTATTTTATTTTATGTGACATGCATTTTTCCATTCCAAAAAGAAAAATGACACTATTTTGTATTTTATAATCTAACTTAAAAATTCTAATTTTGTCCTTAATGACATATTTTTATAACCACAAAATATCATGACATGTTTAATACCACAAGTTCCAGCAAACTATATATTCTCATTATTAAACTTTCATATAAACAATACCACATGAATTAATACCGAGGGGGTAGTAGCTTACGAATAGATGTTCAATCCACCATTAAAGGTGGAAAGTCTTTGGAGAAAAAAAAAAAAGAAGAGATTCGAGATCCCATTACTTACATTCATTATGTCTTCGAAATATATGGTAGGTCATAAATTGAGAAGAAATAAATGTGATTTGCAAGTTGTGTAGATCTCCAGCAAATTCCAGAAGTCCTCTCTGCTGATACTTTAATAGAATAGATTATTTATAGTTTTGATTAATTTAGGTCGGGGAATTTTAATTGGTAGACTCCAATTCAAATTGAAGGAAGAAAATGGTGTTAACTAAGGGAAGCTTTTCTTAAACCGACCAATTATAATTCATAAAAATTAATTTATTATAACCCTTTAGTATCATATCATATCAAGCATCATGTGCTCAAAACTTGTCGCAGCAGATATCATGGTCCATGCATAACGCATCTTGCACACAGTCAGACGGCCAAACCACTACAAACCCCATTTGATGCCATCGCAACCATAATTAAGTAGTATCCGCTTCCCCACCCCACCCCCCCTCTTTCAATTCGGTTGCAATTGTTTTGCATTTACACTTTTTAGTTCTTTATAGTTGTAGTAATAGTTATTGTTCTTGTTTTTATGCTCTTTAATTTATAGTTGTTGTTGTTGTTATAGTTGTAATAGTTCTTGTTCTTGTTGTTATGCTCTTTGTAGTATTCTTTTTCATCATTTATAGCTAATTAAAGGGAAATCAAGGAAAGAGGATAAAGATTTAAAAAAATTGAAAATAAAAAAAGGGAAAATTAACATGAATATATCATTCCTTGCAACTGTTGGCGGAATTTTAACCAAAGATTAGATTTAGCAGCTAAAGCTTAAAAAAGTTGATAATGGATAGCCAAATCCTACAAAACAAACTAAAAAAAATAGGAGAATTTAAATTTTCAACTCGTAATTTCACACTTGTTCCTTTTTAAGTCCAGAGTCGTCCAAAATAATCGCACATATTCATCAAATATTCAATCTCATGAGTTCAAACGATTTCTTGGCAATAAAATGTATCCTCGTGTATGTCAGTATATACTCATGTATATCTTTGTTACACTTGTAATAGACAATACTTACGATATGTTTATATCACATTATATATCATATATATCAATGTATATCACACACATATTTGGATGGATATGCAAAGATATACAAGGGGATATACTCTGATATACATGCGGATGAACACTGATATGCATGAAGATATACACATATATAAAACCACCATAACCACCAAAATCCAGCCCAAGCCACACCAAATCTTCTCCAAATGAGCTTAAATTTCATATTTAGCTTCCCAAATATGTTTTCAAGATATTGCAATAACACCCATCTGATTTAACAACACTGTTCGGATTTCAAATTTCAAATCCTCAACCTTCAAGCTTCAGTAATAAAATTTTGAATTTCTAGTGGGGATGATGAAGGAACAATGTGTTCTTGTAGCCCTGTAAGTTAATATATAGATGTGTGTTTAGTTAAGGTATGTTTGAAGCCTGAAATGTTGGTGAGATCAATTGAAATTTATAGAAACATTCAAGAGGATAACATAGCTAGTCTACTAGGATCTAATGAGAGAGAGAGGTGATGAAGAGAGGGACATCATTGGTTAGTTTAATTTGCTAGAACGTAACTAGCAACTGGTTATCGGGAAAGGTAAGGGGTATTTGGGATGACTTTGGGACTTTGGTTTTGGGGTATGGTTATGGGTCACAACAGAATTTTAGAAACTGGAGAAAACATTTTGATTATAAGATACCAATTTTTTAAGATGAAAAGTGAATGTGGCTACCGAATGCAAATAACAATTGTAATTAGGTTTTTTATGTCATTCACGTGATCATATTGTCGTGTAGTGCAGTTAAAGGAGGGCTACATATGGAAAAGATTATAGTTAAGATATTATTTCTATTTGAAAATTCCATAAAGGCATATAACTTCTTTTTCTTTTTTTGCTAAGGACCGATGATTTATTGAAAGCAGGTAGAAGGATTTCGGAGGGTCATTACATGCCGGAACTAATGTAGTAGATTTATTTCCAGTCAAGTCTTTGTGAAATTTAAAGAAAGCATGAAAAGCTGCAATTTCCCTATACAAAGTGTCCAATTCAGCAACTCCAAGCATTGATCTTGTTTTCCCAAAATGAGCTAGTGAGTCTACCACACTATTCGCCT